CTAATTGAATAAAGCAATTTCTCTAAATATAAGCTGTAAAATGTAATTAGTAAATATTAGACTGGACTTTTTTGGAAATAGATTAATAATCTGGAAAATAGATTAATAAAAACTATACTTGTACATTATGTCAATCCTTATGTCATTAATGCTGTTATTTTGCTTTAGTTTTGTCCTAAATATTTTTGAGCTATGTTTGTAACCCAGAGATAAGGGGGGGGCAAATAGACGCAACTAAAATTTTGTCGCCTACCCAGTCACACGGGTCACGAACCGCCACTGATATGAAGAGGGTCGAAAAATGCAACACTTTAAAATTCGCCTTGTATTTCAGGAACTAAGAAGAGTCGGTGTGTACTATACTAGGTGTGTGAAAAAGAAATGCAGCTATGAAAAAGAAATGCAGCTGTTGAAAATGTATCATAAAAATATATAAAAATTTGACGTAAGCCTTTTATAAAAAACTTTAAGACTTAATTTTTTTTTCATGACTTTAATCTTTTATAAAAAAATTTAAATCTTTTAATGACTTAAGTCTTTTCTAAAAGACTTAAATCTTTTCTGGTTCGGAATAAAGATTTAAATCACAAAGCATTTTGAAAAATACTTAAATATTAAGTCTTAAGTCATCTTTCAAAAAATGACTTAAAATCAAATGACTTAAGTCATTAAAATTATTTAAATCAGAAAACTTAACTTTTCTGTGAGCTTGCAGCTCTGCCTGAAAGTTTTTTTGATTTTACCAAACATTTACATGCAATAATTTTGGACATAGTTAGGTTAGGTTAGTTGGGTAATTTGTATTGTAATAATATTATACTGTAGTTTTTGAAAAATAACTATCGATAGTTATTGATAGAATTATAATCCTAATAAATACTAAAAAAAGTTTAGCAAATGGTAGCAGTGCATTCCTGTATTTAAAGTAGGAAGTAGGTACTATAATACAAAAATATTTTTTATACACCTTCTCGTAATACTGTGAAAAAAAAAATATAAATAAAAATTTAATACATTTATAAACTATCTTTATATATTTTTCGTTCAAGAAATAGCAATATATGTCTTAATATATACTAACACCAATTTATTTTCGTTTTGTACTTTTTTCTAAAGACAAATGTAAAAATAAACCCTGGCATATTTTAAAGGTAGGTAGGCTAGCTGTCAGGATTTTTCCACGTAACCTTTGAATATATTTTAAGAAAATGCAAAGTATGTCGCAATATAAAAATATATACGGCACCGGAATATGATTGCTAAATTATATCAAGTTTTTATACACAGAATTTATTTGGCTTTTACATGCGAGGCGGCAAATTTTTTACTATGTTTTTCAGGAAGTATATTTTGTTATTTTACGTTATGGGGGGGGGGGGTTCTAAATTAAAATTAGGCTTTTTTTGATATACAGAGATGTAGTTATTCTACAAATAATAAAACTGCCTAAGTGTTTGTAGTAAATAGTGATTTTATAATTGAAGTATAAAATTATATTTAGACAGCATCGAAAATGTGGAAATAAAATATCTTTCTGGAATGATATTGTCTTTAATTTTGAAAATTTACGCAACGTTTTTGTCACTGATCTTTTATTGAAAGCCGTATTGCTGTCGTATATACATTTTTCCCATATTGAGACATACATTGCATTTCCTTAAGATATATTCACAGGTTCATTAGCGTAACTAGCAATTCATCCTGGGGGGGCCTGGTGTTGAGCCCAGGAGGGGCCTAGGGCTTTTGTTTTTTAAAAAATGAAGAATAATTTAAAAAACACATTTTTTGAATAAAACGTTTTACATGAATTTCTCTGTCAATAAACTTCATAGACTTGGGTATCAAACCGAGTTCCCGTAGATTACTTAAATACCTACAAATTTTCTAAAAAAATAAAAATTAACACATTTTTTGAATACAACAAAATAATATTAACTAAACAAAACTAGAAAACGTCATTTTTACTACAGCACAAGCAAATAAAAATTAATACGTAGCCAAGGGTCATAATTCCAGATTTCTCGGGGTGCCCAGCAGTTCCTGGGGGGGGGGGGCGGCACCCCCGGGCACCCCTGTATTTACGCCAATGCACAGGTTACACATGTGTTAATTTAGATTATATCACTAGGGTGGTCGTTAAAAATTATTTTTTTTTCTAGCGCACAAAAAATCCTTACTTAATACAAGCCGACGGCCATGTGAAATTGCCACTTCATATCACACTTTAATTGGCCGTCGCCGTCGGCACATGTTCTTTTTGCTTAAAACCAAAAAAAAATTCCCTTAGTTTTTCGTCAAAAGGGAGATTTTTTTTGGGGTGCCGAAAAAAGTTTAATTTTTAACGACCACCCTATTAGATCACACTTGGGTAATAATGGTAATGCACTGTGGTAATAATTATGTTAGTGTTGGTATATATTATGAATCTGAAAATTTTGATTTTATTTTATACAAGATATCTGGAGTCTAGAGCAATTGAAAAAGCCTGATGCTCTTGAAAACTCTTCCACTCTATTGTCAATAAGTGGCACCCCGTAAATACTTTTTCGTGCCAGTACTTGGTACGGAAAATTGTTTACACAGTCCCACCAAAATACCAGTTAAAGGCGATGAAATCTAAACATTTTTGATTTTAAATGCTCTTACCAGTGGTCCGCAAAATGTGCCAATCTAGTCACAGCTTCAAAACTTGCGTATGAAATGCATTTTTTTTCGTTGCTTGGTTAGTAACTTTTATTTCTCCAAAAAATCCTTTATGGTATTTCGCCACTGCACTGCAAAAAAATCTACAAAATAAAATAGTTATTTTTTGTAAACACTTCTGCGTTAAACCTAAACGGACACTGTTTGTCAGAAGTTATGTTTACGGTTATACAAATTTGCCTAACAAAGAAAAAAATGCTTAACGTTTCGGAATGTTTATCTCTTTCCGTCGTCGCGTCGGAAGCAAAAAAAATACAAAGAATAGAGGAAAAAACTATTTAAAGTACCTATTTAAATTCAACTATTCAATTTTAAAAATAATAATAATAATTTTTAACAGAACGTCAACGGTTTCTTGTTGACGTATCTGTTTTAAAAAAGTAAAGTGTTCTCGAATAGTTGAATTTAAATATTTTAAATAGTTTTTTTCTTTATTCTTTTTTTTTTGATTCCGACGCGACGACGGAAAGAGATAAACTTTCCGAAACGTTAAGCATTTTTTTCTTTGTTAGGCAAATTTGTATAACTGTAAACATAACTTCTGACAAGCAGTGTCCGTTTAGGTTTAAGGCAGAAGTGTTTACAAAAAATAACTATTTTATTTTGTAGATATTTTTGCAGTGCAGTGGCGAAATACCCATAAAGGATTTTTTGTAAAGATAAATCCGCCACATAGGCATAGACATTTTTCAGTAATTTTTATGTGTCATCATTCATCAGCATAATTTTTTAATATCAATAACAATACAAGGTGAGTTTTTTTAAAATTTAATCTATCTATGTTGCCATAATATCGAGATATTATGTATTTTAACTAGAAATTAAAAAGAATTCCAACATTTTTTCCCAAAAAGAAAAATTTAAAAAAAAATTTCGAAAAAAATGTCGTAGACGTGTTTCTGGGGTCGAAGTTTTTTGAAATAAAATAACTCGGTTATTTTGGACTTGATTAGATGAAAAACGATAAAGAGAAAATATGTTTCTTTTTTCGAGATCTACCAGCTCTGATAATATTTGCCCTTTTTTAAGACTTACTCTTTATAACGTGCTCAATTCTACTTAACATTATTGCCTCGATATTGATAGATATGAAAATTATACTATCTTGTAGTATATAGTTTATGGTTAAATTGTAGATGGAGTATTGACTTGAACTTGAACTACAAGAAATTATGCATGAGCTTGACAGCTAGAGTGGACAAATTGACTCACTCTGCCCCATCATGGTTACATTGCAAATTTTAATTTACATTTTTTGTATGTTGATATTAATAATGATCCTAGATATAGGGTTTCCAGTCAGTCCGAATCTAGATTTACCCGGACATGTCAGGGTTTTTAAGGTGTCCGGGTGTGTTCAAATAATTTAAAAAAAATATCAGGGAGATCTAACCGTAAAAACAGTTTAAAACAACTTAACTTTATCGTACAAAATAACTTTGTTCGACAGCACCCATAGATATGGAAAAAATAGATATTTGGTCATTTTCTTAATTTTCGGTGCACTGGTGAATGTGAGTTCTTTTATCCTTATTTTGTTATGACTGTGCGGTATGATTGTAATTCTGCCCTATAATCCAATACAGTGCCTGTCATTTTAATTCACAAATAAATGATATTTTCTATATGTCATTTTTTGAATATCACCTGACGAAATCATCCCTGACTCATTGGACAGACTTTAGCTTATGCTCATTGCATATGCAACGGGTAAATTGGTCTAAAATTATCGCTGTATAACATGCAATATTTAATTGTAACAATCAAATTACGCATTTAATAATACCGTAACAAAAATATGTAGTAACTAAGAAAAAGTTTCCTCTTCTATTAGCTTCTATAGGCATAATTCAATTCCGATGTCATTTGTAACGTATGCAGTATAAATCTTAGTACTGCTTACAAGGGCAAAAAGTGTACTTGACACTTTTTTAACAGCCTGTAATTTCCCCGTTAATGTAATGTTGTGTAAGTCTGTTCGTCTGTCCGTTGATCCAGGGAAGAATATCGTGAGACGACATCATATCAATGACGGAAAATACAATTTACATGTGAATTAAAATGATAGACACCAATTCTGATTGTTAGGTATTCCTCTCGTTAAACAAACCTTACATACCTAAATAATTCATAATTTATTTTTCGACGATTCACTTGTCCAAAAGTTCCAAAAGCTTGTATGGAAACCCTAAGTTCAAGACCACCAAGAAATTTACTTCAAATAATTATAAACACTATTTTGTACTTTATTTGAAGAAAATAATATTTTATGGATTATTTAACGTCTCAAAACTTACCTTTTTCAGAAGCAATCCTTGACCTCCCTCAAACAAGAACTGTTTACCAAAATATTACACCAAATCACTGATCAAAATATACTGCAAAAATTGTCCCTTTTCAGTCAAAACTAACCAAGAATTTTGCATTAAATAAATTAACCGTTATTTCTTTAAAGTCTCTTCCTTTTATTTACCGACGGCTGTCCCGAATTCCGCGTGTCTCTCGATACGGTAGGCGTCGCGGCGCGTGGCGTCCCTTTTCCCGGACGCGGTGCGGCAAACTGAAGAAAAACCGACGGCGGACGTCGCTCTCGCGGCGTAAACACTGGCGCATCGCGACGCCCGCTTCGGGAAAATCCGGGACACTTCGGGATTGTACGGAGAGACAGGTGAAAAAGGGGGTTGCATGCAGGTGAGACGAGCCGGTGCAGTGTCTTTGGGTGGAGGGGTGTCTTCTACGGATACTGTGACACGCTAATATTCTTGACTCTATCAATTAATTGAATACTAAAAATTAGTAAGGTGACCAGTCAGCCGTTATTATGGCGGACAGTCCGTTACTTAGTCGCGATGTCCTTTCCCAAGTTTTCCCCAAAGAGTTTTTTTCTTCCAGTCCAGTTTTAATCATCTGGTGATGATTCTATGATGGTTAGCGGGACGCGCGTTCAGTGTTAAAAGTAGTGTTTTGGTGTATTGTGGTGAATTAGTATTTTATCTTGCCGTTATAAATAAAATAAAATGTTCTATTCCCCAACTGTCAAAAGGTCCGTCATTCAACATATGCATTCAACATGGTCCATCAATTGAACATTTCCATCAATATAGTTAAAGTTATTTTGACTTAGAAAAAATTAACGAGTTGAAGCAAAATGATGATAAAACTTTAAAAAAATATATTGAAGTTTCTTAGTTTTGCAGGGACTAATGTTCATTAAGAAATTGTGTTTATAGTGGTCAATGAGATGTAGACAGGAACAAAAAACATATACAGTACGTCTATCCGTTCTGCAGCTATGGTGCATCCATAAAGGGGGAAAAGGATATTCTCTGTTAGCCGGTAATTCATGGGCATCGTGCCATTAATATTTTAGATAACATTACCTATAAACAAATTTAAAAAAATACCCAATAAGTTTTATTTTTTCAATGTTTTCCACTTAAATGAGACATAATTTTTATAAAAATTAAAATATTAAGAAGAGGAACAATAAAATCACGCAACTTCCCCTTAACCCATGTTTCTCCTAAAAAATTAGGCAACGCGTCCCATCAATAAAAATTCGATAAATTTGCAAGTAGCGAATGAAATGAGTTAGCGGAGTGTTTTGCGGTGACATACTCGTCAAGTCAACGTAGGCTCTGTGCCGCTTTTATATAGGTAGCGATTTATAAAATATATTGCTGTTTATTTAAATGTCTTTTGTCTGCATTCTTGAAATGCTTACATAGACACTGATCCAGTAGACGTACTTTACATTTCTACCTATTTTAAAATGTCTTGTTTGAGCATAAAAATTCTCACCAGACAAATACATATGAACGGTCCAGGGGAAAACGCCAATTTCTTAATTTTAGGATTTTACAATATTATAGTAAGTCAACAGGTACTTCCCCTAGGAGATCTTTTATTGAAAGCCGTATTGGTGTCGTATATACATTTTTATATTGCTATATACATTGCATTTTCTTAAAATATATTCAAAGGTTACACCTGTATTAATTTAGATTGGATCTAGGGTCTTTAGGATCACTAGGGTGGTCGTTATTTTTTTTCCGGCACCCCAAAAAATCATTCCTTTTGATGCAAAACTACAGGGATTTTTTTGGTTTTAAACAATAAGAAATAAGAACACGTACCGACGCGACGGCCAACTTAAATTGCCACTTCAATAGCCACTTGATAGCAAACTTTAATTGGCCGTCAGCACATGTTCTTTTTGTTTAAAACCCAACAAAAATATTCCAGTTCTAGTTTTTCGTCAAAAAGTATAATTTTTTGGGGTCTCGAAAAAAAGTTTAATTTTTAACGACCACCCTATTAGATCACACTTGAATGTGATCTAATAGCTGTGTGTGATCTAATTTAAATCCTAAAACTACTAGGCTCAATATACTAGAGCAAGGCATTTAACCGAGCCGGAGTTAGGAGCTGTGTTGTCCATTGAGGACGTCAGAATTGATACGTTGTGTTAGTGGATTGCCATATTGACGAAATTTTCATACTTCGATTGCTAAATGTCACCCATATATAGTAGTAGCTCGGTTCCCGTTTATGGTGGGACAAAAAATTACCAAAGTAAGTACCAAAATCTATCGTTTTACCTTATTCGTTACTCAACAAAACCTTAACTTTTTTTTCTGCGAAGGGTCTGACAGAAAATAGATTTCAAATTTATTTTTTACTTCTTGAACCAATCTCAATTTCATCTATAAGACTTTGATAATAATCATGTTAATATTGGTATATATTACGAAATCGGAAATTTTGATTGTATTTTATACAAAAAATCTGGGGCAACTGAAAAACCCTGATGCTCATGAAAACTTTTCCACTGTATAAGTGGTACCCCGTAAATACTTTTTCGTGCCAGTACTTGGTACGGAAAAGTGTTTACGCCGCGCCGTACCACCACAAAACCAGTTAACGCGATGGAATCTAAACATTTTCGATTTTAACTGCTCTTACCAGTGGTCCGCAAAATGTGCCAATCGACTCACAGCTTAAAAACTTGCGTATGAAATGCATTTAATTTCGTTACTTGGTTAGTAATTTTTATTTCTCCAAAAAATTCTTCCTCCTCCAAAACCAAACCAAACCAAACCAAACAGTAAAAAAATATATTGGAGTTTCTTAGTTTTGCAGGGACTAATGTTCATTAAGAAATGGTGTTAATAGTAGTCAATGAGATGTAGACAGGAACAAAAAACATATACAGTACGTCTATCCGTTCTGCAGCTATGGTGCATCCATAAAGGGGGGAAAGGATATTCTCTGTTAGCCGGTAATTCATGGGCATCGTGCCATTAATATTCTAGATAACATTACTTATAAACAAATTTAAAAAAATACCCAATAAGTTTTATTTTTTCAATGTTTTCCACTTAAATGAGACCTAATCTTTATAAAAATTAAAATATTAAGAAGAGGAACAATAAAATCACGCAACTTCCCCTTAACCCATGTTTCTTCTAAAAAATTAGGCGACGCGTCCCATCAATAAAAATTCGACAAATTTGCAAGTAGCCAATGAAATGAGTTAGCGGAGTGTTTTGCGGTGACATACTCGTCGAGTCCACGTAGGCTCTGTGCCGCTTTTATATAGGTAGCGATTTATAAAATATATTGCTGTTTATTTAAATGTCTTTTGTCTGCATTCTTGAAATCCTTACATAGGCACAGATCCAGTAGACGTACTTTACATTTCTACCTTTTTTAAAATGTATTGTTTGAGCATAAAAATTCTCACCAAACAAATACATATGAACGGTCCAGGGGAAAACACAAATTTCTTAATTTTAGGATTTTACAATATTATAGTAAATCAACAGGTACTTCCCCTAGGAGATGCAAGACCTTGTCGTTGGTGGGGAAGCTCCTGGACAGGTGCTGGGAGGAATCCCCCTAGCGCTTGGCTTGGTCTAACAAGCATCTCACTCATCGTCTTGTCCATGGCTGTAGTGTCGTGGCCAGGAAAATGCACCAAGACATAACGATTCCGGACGGGGCTACCCCTGTCCGTCATACCAGGCACCCTCTACTAACTGTGGTCATGTCTCGCGGGTAAAGGGTGTGGGGAGGTCTTGGCTTAAACGTCTGGACCAAGAGGAGACAACCTCACCAAAAACATAAATCCTACGATGGCGGGACCAGGTCAACGGGATGCGTGGCTAGATAGAGGACTAGCCATTACTGGCCGCAACCTTGGGGCATCAGGAGGCACCCCATTGTATTTACCCCTTACTTCTGCATGTGGGGCTCTATAGAAGTGGACCGACTATCCCTAGCGACTCGTGGCAACACTATGAGATCTAGTATTAAAAACACCACCGATGAAGCTGTGGGGAAGCCCCTAGCGACACTGGGAACTTTACAAATAAATGTTCCATGGGACCAAATCCAAAGGAAACCACAGGAGGGGCGGCTGACACTTGCTTGGGATCATCCTCCACAAGTAGCACACAAGCTACCACCTTCTCCAGCAAGGGTCGGGAGCCTACCTCTAGACCCAATAAGCGACATAAGCTACCGTTTCGTCTACCCGGCCTGGGTCAACAAGGCGGGCTAGACGATCCCCTGAGAGTAGGTCTTAGCGGAGCAGAAACACGGAGGTACCTCCGACTGCTCCACGATGAACTTGCTCCAGAGGAAGCAAAAGCGAAAACACTCCTCCGAAAAGAAGAGAGTAAAGAAACCAAGAAACAACCTGACTCGTCTCCATCAAAGGGCAAGAGAGGGAGTGAGGACCTCTAACCTCTTCTCCGGCAGGGAGAGAAAAAAGCCAGGATGGAAAGCCGTCCATCTCCGGGAGGAAAGCAGGAACGTATCGCCAGCTTTGCCGCTATTGCTGGACAAGTGAAAATGGCGGTGCTGCCAAAGGATTTCTCAGAGGTTGCTCTGACCATCGACCAGCAAACGTCTCTAGAAGAGGCTATACTGGACGAAGTAGTGGCGATCGGATCGCAACACAACGATCCACAAAATGTGGGTCAGCTGCGTTTTGCTGGGATACACTTTCGGGTGGGCATGATCCTCATAGATTGTACATCTCAAGAATCGGTGAATTGGTTGGTCGAAATCACACCTAAGCTTAAAAATTGGCAAGAGCTGGAACTGGTTGCAGTGAAGGGATAAAATATCCCTAAAAGGGCGGCCATAACGGTCTTTCTGCCGAGGAGCAAGGGGAAAGACACCACCTACCTACAGACCAAGTTAAAGAGGTAAAGAAAGGTAAGTAAGAGTAAAAATGGAGACAGATCCTCCAGCCTCCACCTCACGGGTTCCTCAGCCGGAGGCAAGCTCCTCGACTGTGAAGACCGGCACGGACGGCCATGGAAGGGTGTGGATCCAACCGTGGAAGGGTGGTACCCTCGCAGGATGAACTGTTGTCAGAGGAGGATGTGGAGGAAAATACCCTGTCCCCTCTACAACAGGGTCAACAACTGGATCCCAAACTGTCACTTGGGATCCAGAACCATGCAGTGACATTTATTTGCTCTGTTTCTTCAGGATCTTTATCGCAGAGTTTTTAACAAACACTTC